AATCTATGTAATGCACAGCAATTGCCCCCATGATATGACAAAAAAAAGCTTTTCGATCTGATCAGCTCACCACCTATCTTGTTGTTGGAGAGTTAGAGGTACTTGAGGGCGCCAAGATCTCCTAGCTGCGGCTGGATGTGGCCTGTAGATGAACGAATCAAAGCAGGGTAACTTTGCGGGGTAAAGCGAAAAACACACCCCCAGTTCTAGGACACCAGTCCCGCCCACGCATTGGCAGGACACACTTCCTGTTGTAGAAGCTTCATGACAAAAAAATTCTGATTTGTTTTCCCCCCTTTCTGTGCTGCTTCTGCGTTGTCCAGGGCCAATACCCAAGAAGATGGGAGCTCTAAACAAGGAGACGTTCCAGTTTTCTAAGCAGCAACAAGCTCACTGGTGAGAAACATGCCAAATGGAATGTTTGCGTTGGTCTATACAGTAGAACACAAAATACCTACTGCCGGCGGCCTCTATTACGGCACCAAAACCTCTTGTCATTTCTGCTATTGAGGACCGTCGACTGTACATGATATATATATATATATTAGGTCTCCCTTCGGGACGTGGGTGCCAAGCCTCCCGCGGGCGACGCAAGACCACATAACGCGCAATATTATTGCCTGGATAGGCTGTGTTTTATCTAATAGGATGGGTAGATACACAACGCTCCCAGGCAAGTATTTTGACCGTTCTAAATGATGAGTCACAGAAAATTAAACATACATACCAAAACAACCCGCTGATTCCCGCCCGATTTTTATATTTTCTCGTCCGCGTCGAGCGCAACACCAGTGGGCTCGGGCTGCGGCACGTCTGTTTTCATACATAAATTAGTATTAGTCTGCTTTTTTCCGTTCTCTCTGCCTGCACGCAAGGGAACTTAGAGCCAAATATGCTCAATTCACGACGTATGTTTTGTACGAGACCTGTGCGGTAGGGGTACACTGAGACGGAAACCTTTTTGAGTAGCACAGAAAAATCTACACAGCCGACGGCGTGGAGAGCGTGATGGTGCCAGAGTAGGGGTTCATTGTGGGGGCATATGCATATGATGAGGTTTATTATCCTGCTAGCTGTCGTTGGCAGCGAAAAACGTGTTCGAAACGTGCGTGCGGGCCATTTCCTCCCCGTCGAATTTAGTTGATGGGTTCCAGAAGAATTGCTTCGCCAGGCTCTGTCTGCGTGAGCGCGTCCCCGGGGTAGAGCGCGTTGTTGCGAATTTAACCGTCAACCACACACCCCACGGAGACCTGCCGAGCTCCGCACATGAGCGTAAATGTGCGGACGAGCCTCCTGCGTGCCCCTGAGAAGGAAGCGCGAGAAAAGACGCACTGTCGCGAGAGGAAGAATTGCCGAGGCACAAAAATGACCAAATCGTGTACGTACATACATGTTTTCTTCGCTTGTACGCGTCCCGCCAAACGCGGCCGATGCACTAACTTTTTTCTAACGTCCAGCGCTGACCCAGCAGGATGTGGATGGAACCGCAAGCGTGACCTATCCACTACGGAACACACACACGCACACACAAGACCTCAAAAAGGAACTCGGCCCTCACCCAGCAGGTCTTGCACTTGCCGATGGCGTCGCAGGTGTTGTCCTCCGCCTGGTAGTTCTGGCACGTGTCGAAGGGAACCGGGTTGTTGGAGGCGTACTCGTAGGTGCCCGTGTGGGTGCCGCCGTGGCAGGACCCCGCGACTTCGGTGGCGCAGTTGAGGATAACCTGTTCGGCGTGCAGGCGGTAGGGGGGGGGGGGGGGGGGGGGGGGGGGGGGAAAAAAAATTGGGAAACTACCGGTGGAAGGCCTTGAAATTTTGTGGGGCGTCTTAAAGGGAAAAAAAAACACACAAGGGGCTCGTTTTTTGGGGAAAATTATAAAAAAAAAAAGAGTGCCGGGAG